ACAACAGAAAACCTGACCATGTATTCATCAATCTTCACTTCCTTTCACTCCAGTATCAGAAGATGATGTGTTTTTCTTCCATTCCAAGACTTAACCCTCCATTTGTGCCTTTGATATTATCTCTGCTCACTTCCTCTTGGACTTTGCTTCATGAATCATTTCGCCTTCTGTTCCTCGTCTTTGATCTCTCACTGTTGACTTTTTCAGCTCTTTGTAGTGTCTTCCTTGAGAAAAATCTTCTCTTGACTCTGCTAACCCCTACTTCCTACCTTATCCCAATTATTACTGAATTTCTTGGTAAGAGTAGCATATATCTCTACCACTTTATCATCACTTGCTTTCTCCTCAAACTCTTGCAGTGTGGTTTTGTTTCTACCATTCTATTGGTATAACTATCTCCAAGGTTACCAAAGGTCAGCTAAGTGGCTCAGTGGATAGAGCGTGGGGCCTGGAGTCAGGGAAATTCATGTTGCGGGGTTCAAGTCTGACCTCAGACACTTACTAGTTGTGTGACCCTGGGCAAAGTCATTTAACCCTGTTTGCCTCAGTTTCCTCATCTGTAAAATGAACTAGAGAAGAAAATGGTAAACCGCTGCAGTATCTTTGCTAAGAAAACCCCAAAAAGAGTCACGAAGAGTCAGGCACGACTAAAACAATTGAACAACAGCAGTGACAACAATAGAGGTCACCAATGACTTCTTTTTTAAAATGAATCTTTAATTATTACAATATCATTATTTTTACATCCCTTTTATTTCCTGAATATGTCCCTGTCCCTTTTTCTATCCAGTTAAGCCATCCCTTGTTAAAAAAAAAAGTGAAAAAGATTAAAAAAATTTAGAAAAATTAACCTGACACATCAACCAAGTCTGTCATGTTCCACACCCCGAATCCCCCTTTATCAAAGAAGAGAAGAATGAGATACATTTTTATGTTGCTTCTGGGGCCATTTATGCTTGCTAAAATTAAAATTTCTTTTTTGTTCTTTTCATGTTCCCTTTTTTTTATTCTTTCTGTTTACATTGAGTGGGCATTGTGCATATTTATTTCCTGTTTCTGTTTACTTAACTCTACATTAATTCATATGATGAGGTTTCTCTGTGTTCTGCATATTCATCATTTCTTACTGCGTAGTAATACTGTATTACATTCATGTGTTATAACTTGTTTAGTTATTACCCAATTACCATCACTTTGTTTGTAGTTCTCTGCTACCACAAAATGTGCTGCTTTGAATATTTTGGTGTATGTGGGACCTTTCTTTTTGTCATTGACAACCATATAGTATGTCCCTACCAGGGAGACATTTGAATGGTTCAGAATATTTGGAACAATTCAGATATGTCTCTATTAACATATCAGTGTGCTTGTCTACCCACAGTCCTGCTAACGTTGACTATCACCATCTTTTATCATCTTTGCCAGTTTACTGCTTATAAAGTGAAACCTTATTTTCATTTGCATTTCTCATACTGCATTGGAATATCTTTCTCCAATGACTTCTTTGCCAAATATGGTGGCATTTTCTTAGTTTTTCTCCTTGACCTTTTATGTGCTGTTTTGACGTTGTTGAGCACTTTGCTCATTCTTTCTTGAAGAGTCCTCTCTCCCTTAACTGTTCAGTTATTGCTCTCTCCTTGTTTTCTTCTTACCTGTTCATTCTTTCTCAGTCTTCTTTGATGGGAATTCATCTTTTAACCCCTATCCTCACTCCAAAAGCATGGGTTCCCCCAAGCCTCTTGTCTGCCCTTACCCTTACTCTCCTTTATCAATCTTGTCCAATCCTATGATTTCATCTGTTACCTCTCTACAGATACTATTACTTTACATTGTGGTTTAAAGTTTATAACACAATTTATGTGATTCCTTTTATTTGATCCTCATAACAACCCTGTGAAGTAGGTAATAAAATTATTCCCATCTTACAGATGAGGAAATGAGGTTTGGAGAGATCATATTAAGGTCTCATGTAAGCACTAGAGCAAGAATCTGGACTTCTGTCTTTTCCAAAGGCATTGTTTCTTTAAATGCAGCTGCTTCTCAAATTTATGTCCAGCCTGATTTTCTTATTTGAGTTCCAGTCCTGTATTCCTAATTGGTAGGACATCTTTACCTGAATAATCTGCTGGCCCCTCAAAATCAGCGTGTACAAACATTAATTCACCTTTTTTCACTTCAAACCTGTCTCTCTTTCCAACTTCCCTGTTTCATTAATGACACCTCTGTCTTTTGTCACCAAGGCCCTATACCAGGCCTCCATAACATTCGGCCTGCAGCCCGCCAGAGAATTTTGGGCTGCCAACCGCTGGGCACTCTCCTGTTTGTTGTATGACCTGTGGCAGCCAACCCTCGTCAGTCTGTCTCTATTTACCTTAATTTGGAAAGTGAGCTGTTAAAAACCTATCTGCTGCCTGAGGAAGTTTAGACTATTTTAATTTTGACCCCTACCTTCTGCCAAGTTGTGCAGCTCTGCTCCTATACCACAGCATCATCTTTGTTTATTTTCCTCTTCCTCATCTCCCACAGCCAATGAGTTGCCAAATCCTATAAATGCTACCCACATAATATCTCTTAAATTTGTGTTTTCTTCTCTATTTTTAGTGCTATAAGCCTGGTTTAAGCTCTTAAAACAACTTTTGCCTATTCTATATTATGATAGCTTCTTAAGTGATTCCGACTGTAGTCTTCTTTTTTTCCATCCATCATTCTTGCAAGTGCCAAATAAACTTGATCCTTGTACTCCCTTATTCAGAAACTTTCAGTGACTCCCTATTGCCTATAAGTTCAGACACAAACTTCCTAACTTGGTGAATCAAGGTTCATCACAATCTGCCTTCAGCCTTTCTTTCCAATGCTGTTTTACTCCATTCCTATTTATGAACTCCTGTTTTCTCCTGCCTGTGTGCATTTATTCAGGCTGACCCCCATTTCTGCACCCAATTCTTCCACTTACCCACTGCTGAAATCCTTCTTTCAAGTTTTGGCTTAGCTATTATTTCTTTTATGAAGCTATTTTAGATCCTTCCCATCTCTAACTTAAAGCTGTTTCCTTCTTTAGATTTCTTCTAGCACTTTGTCCAGTCTTTTCTTTTCTGTCATCACATTCTGTTTTGTATGATACTTATTTGTGTATATGCCTAATGCTATCCTATTTGTTTGTAAGGTCGTTGAGGGAAACAACCACGGCGTTTTTCATCTTTGGAGTTCTAGAGCCAAGTACAGGGCCTTGTGCAGAGCAGGCTCTAAGTCAGGAGTTTTTAACCTGGGATCCAGAACCCCATTTTTAAAAATAATATTTTAATAACTATGTTATAATTTGGTTTCCTTTGTAGTCTTAAGCATTTTTTGTAAGCATCTAAAAATATTATTCTGAGAAGTGGTCTATGACACCAAAAGATTAAGAATATTTGTTCTAAAATAAACCTTTGTCTTACTGCATTGAGGATAGAGTGCTGAGCTCAGAGTCAAGAAACCTGGGTTGAAATCTCACCTTGGACGCTTATTAGCTATGTGATGATAGGCAAGTTACTTAACTTCTCAAAGGCTGTTTTTCATATTTATGAAATGGAGATAATAATAACTGAACTACCTACCTCACAGAATTGTTATGGTGATCAAATGAGCGTAATGTAAAATATTTACCAAACTTTATAGCATTATATTGTTATTGTTGGTAGTTTCTTGAGTTGAATTTGTTTCAGAAATGGGTAGAATAGTCCTTTTCTGTTTGGAAGATAGATATTCAGGTACCTTCGTCTGAATAGTAGACCACTGATTTTGAAATGTAGATTCCAGGTTAAATTATTAGAAAATCAAACAAGTAATTTCAGTGGGCATTGGGATAGTGGATTTTTCTAGAGGTCATCTCTGTGCTGAGATAATCCAAATGGATTTAAACCCTTATATCTCTGAGATATGAGATAAATATTTTATCCTTAAGATGCCATTTGGAATGTTAACTTTCCTCCTCCTTCCCATCAGTTGCATTCTGTTAAGTTTTGAATTACAGAATTTTTGTTTCATTTTTTTGGTCTAGGCCTATATATGATCCTGTGATCCTTATTCTGTAGCTGTAGGGAATTTCTGGTATGAAAACTCTCTATTAATGCAGATCAGCAAATCCTCTTAACTTTAGAGAGTTGCCTGGGGACACCAGGAAGTTAAGTAAATTGGACATGTTCATACCTTATGTGTAACTTTTAAACCAAGCAAGGAAGACCTTCCTGACTTCAAAACTGGTACTCTATCCTATATGCCACAATGCCTCCCAAAGGCTAGAATGTGTTTTATTGAGGTAAAGTGTTCACAATTCCATTCTTCCCTATTGTTAGATTGATTTTATCCCATATTTTACTATATTTTGAGAGATGGAGAACGTATTGTCTATTATGTATTAGTGGGTAGTATGATCTGGGCTACTCTTTGGATGCTAATGTTCTTACTTCTTTTTGCCCTTCTCTATAACATTTTTATCCAAACAATGTTTGGATAAAGATGTTAGAAACTCACCTTAGAAATCCCCACAGCTAAATTTATTCATTTAATTGCATTTTAACTTAGTTTAGGTGGAAACAGTTATATGGATACTTAACTAAACATCACACTCTTTCCTTTCTGTAAACGTTAAGTAAATCAAGTATACAGGCATGGGTTTCTATTATCTACTCTTTCAAAATATTAAGATTTCTGGGGATTAGTAGAATTTTGTTTTTTCTTTGAAAGTTTTGGGGCAGCTGGGTGGCGCAGTGGATACAGTACCGGTCCTGACTTCAGGACGACCTGAGTTCAAATCCAACCTCAGAACAAACGCTTGACACCTACTAGCTGTGTGACCCTGGACAAGTCACTTAACCCCAATTGCCTAACAAAAAAAAAAAAGAAAGAAAGTTTTACTATTTATTATTTTAATTTGAGCATTTTTTCCCTTTGCCTGCCTCTCCTATTTCCCTTCCCTTGTCTTGTCTCCTCCCCTTGCTTCTTTCTTATTTTTATTCCAACAGCTTTACCTGTTCACATGGATGAAGTAGAGGCAATCCCACCATCATCTCAGGCCCAGAAATCGCCGAATTCTGAGTGGTCGGTCCGGACCTATGCAGCAGAGAAAACCACTGGGCCAACTCCAGCTACCTTTTTTAAGATGCCGCAAGAAAAAAGCCCTGGGTGCAGCTAGAGGGGCATTTTGCCCACAAAGTGTTGGCTGGATTTGTTAAAACATTTTAGACTTTGGATTGTATTGTCTCAGCTATCTTGTTTGGCAATACCTATCTCGTCTTCTTCAACGCACTTATCTTCAACCATAGCAGCTCGATCTCTCTATTGGAAAATCATGCCTATGATTCATTTTTTAAAAAAGTATTAACATGTTGGGGCAGTTTTAAAAAAAAATTCTTGCTATGCTGTATTTATTATGTTTATCTGTCATTGTTGTCCCAACATCAATCTACAGCTACTTTTACAGAGCTGTTGCTTTTTTGCAGATGTCTGTCTTTGTTGTTGTGAAACTGGTGACTGCTTTTGTGTCTCGTTTTGTGGCAAGGCTGCCAGTACCATTTGAAGAAGAGCTGTCTTTGCAGCTAGCCCCAGGCAAGGGTGAGAACTGAGTTGAAGGCTAGCATGAAATCATAGTTGACCAGGAGGTGGGAGACCAAAATATGGGGCTGATTTCAAGGCTGGAACTTTGGAATTTTGTCTTTCGGTGATCTCAGAACACCAGGACTCATCAGCCAACGCTGGATCTTAGGAGAGACATGGGCCAGCAGCTTGGGACTCAGAAAAAGTTATCCTGTCCTGGTAGATGTCTTAACATTGCTCACGATTATGCTGTTCATTGCCTTCTTTTCTGTGTTCTTTTCTTGAGCAAGAAATCCCATAAACATGTACAGATTAGCACAATGAGGATAACTTAAGTGAAAATCACAGCTCTGAAGTATTTAGTGAGATATTTAAAAAAATTTCATTTCCCAAGTCAAACCCTTCCTTTAGCAGACCTTTTGTCATGTGAGTTATTGATCTCTCAAGCCAGTAACCTTAATTAAGCTCATATGTTGGTATAACAACTTTTTTGGGCTATCTGCTTTTTTGGTAAAAATTTCTGTCATCTCCCTTCATATTTGAAGCTGCATTGTGAAAACCTGTAGTCATACCTGAGGTTAGTTGCAATGCTGTCGACGTGAGGGATAAGTAACTAATTGGAAATGGTGAAGGGAGGCTGCCATTTCCAAAAGTAGTATTAGAGCCACCTGTTTAAGGGGCTTGATTAACTTAAAGGTACTCACTGAATATTTTCTGAGTACTTTATATTGTGAAACGTGTAAGAGTAAATTGTAAAAGAGTAAACAGTCTCTTACATGCATACTACACAGAGTACATTCTGTAGGGACTCCCTCTCATATCTCTGATTATTTTCTGTACTAAAGTAGATGTTGAAGGGAGACAAGTACTCCCATTTCCTGAAGCCCAGAAGCTTTTCTAGTATTAGATTATAATTAAGGAACTCCCTTACTGCTTTCCCTTTTCAAATCATATTCTTTTATATATTTGAGAGGGGCTCAGGGCCCAGCTGTTTTCTTTTCTCTGTAGAAGTATGTGTTGTCTATTGTGTTCTGATACAAAGATGAAGTAGATGGCACCTTTGACTCACTGTCAGTAGGGCATATAGTTTGTGTTTTGATAAAAGAAGGGATGGGTTATGGCCTTTTTGTTAACTATGACACATTTAGTCAATGATGGGTTTGTGGCCATGGAATGTTATTTTTCCTTGTAGCAAACCTACTGGCCTATGTGCGCAGTTGTATAGTTGATAGAGTGCTGGACTTGGAAGTGGGAACACCTGGATTTGAATTCTGCCTCTGATGATTATGCCATGTGTGATTATAGGCAAGCCATTTAAACTTTCTAAACCTCTGTGTCCTCCCCTGTAAAATGGTGGTGAAAATTGTCATACCTCCTAGAGTTGTTGTGAGGATCAAATGAGATAATAATGTATTGAAGCACTTCACAAACTTCAAAGTGCACTGTCTGCTAGGTGTTATTAGATTTAAGCCAAGCCTACTGGTTGTCAGTGCCATTATGCCCAGGTAATAGAGTTGTTAATAATTGTATTGACCATTATAACCCCTTTCTGGCTGGAAGTTAAAGACTATGTGTCATCTCATTTACCTTTTACAATATTCCATTGAGTCACAGAGAGCCACAGAGCATTTAAGTAACTTGTCACATAGCCAACCTAAGACTAAATTCAAGTCTTTAAATTCTTGGTCCAAATGTCTTGTTATCAAATTAGTCCTTGATTATATTCTGATTAGTCTCCACTTTGCAGTATATACAGGGGACAAGGAATCGGGAGGCAGGGTGAGGGTGGTCTCTCCTTTCTCTTACGCCCCTTGATTTGTCCTTACCAGTATGTAGAGGCACCTTATATCCTGATTGCTGTCAACTTTGTAGTGTATTATTTGAATGATGTGTAGGGTTTCCCTCCCTTCATTCCAACGCCTTATATTCCCTGCTAATAATACTGTAGCTTTCCATCGACCAGCCAATTTGCAGACTGAGAGCCAAATTTGTGAAATGATAAGCTAGTATTGCACAACAAAATGCTTGGTTTTGGGATACTCTTGTCTGCTCGTTTGAGTACTTGTAATAGATGCCACTCAGTAAGATGGAAAAATCATTTGTACCTGGGAAAGTGATTATCTATTAAGCACATGAATGCTTTTCAACATGGGGGTGCAAATTGTGCTCCTTGACTTAGGTGCTGTATTTGCATGCTTAAGGAATTATGAATATTGACCAAATGTCTTTTTTTGTGATGCTTTGTTTTCCGTATTCTCTACAAATCGATTTCCAGAGGATATTATCCTGAGTATATTTTGGTTTTTTAAAAATCCATTGTCCTTTCTGTTATATAAAGGTTTTAAGAAATCAATCACATGATCCTACAAAGAATTTTGGGGAAAACACAATATTTTAAAATTAGGTCATGAACAGAAATCCCTAGAACAGTGTGGGACACTGCCTTTTGAACCAGACCTTTAGCCTACTAAATATTTGATTTGCATGAAAGTAATAACTCAAACTGAATCCCTTAGTTCATATTCATTTCACGGTTCTGGTAAATAATCATATACCCTAACTTTTTGGTATATTTTCATAGTATCCTCCCAAACCAAAAAGAGTCTTGAATATTGTACTTTTAATAGGGCCATTCACTTTCAAGTTTACTTCTCACTGAAGACTTTTAAGAGGGTTTTTAAAACTAGCATTTTAAAGAACTTTGTTGTTGTAACATTAAGATCATCACTGTCCTCACAATTATGTAGGGAAAAAAATAAAATTACATTATCCTTTTAAAAAAGTGTTAAGTAATGTGCAGCTATGAAGTAGATCAGATAGCCTTGAATTTCTTTCCAAATCTTAAAGGCACCTGAAAATCAAATATAATATTGTCATAATCAATATTCTTCTATTGGAAGGTGAAATAGACTGCACTTAAGCCATTCTAGTGGGGAAATGACCCTCATCTGAAATGAATGCCTGCTGCTTTTGGTGTCTCTTGCATCCCAGCCTTAAAATTAACTAGAACTAAAATGCCATAGTAAAGTGGTAGTATATATAGGTTTGGATGTTACTGAACCCAGTGAACATTATGGGAATTTTACATGTTACATTATGGAAATAAAAGCTAAATCCATACGAGGAAGTGGGAACTCCTAGATGAGAGAACAGACTCTAAACGTTAAAGAATGAAGATAAGGGCAGCTAGGTGGCGCAGTGGATAGAGCACCAGCCCTGAAGTCAGGAGGACCTGAGTTCAAATGTGGCCTCAGACCAAACATTTGATACTTACTAGCTGTATGACCCTGGGCAAGTCACTTAACCATAATTGCCTTAAAAAAAATGAAGAGAAGAAGATATGTGCAGTGATCACAGAGATGGAGAGCTAACCAAGACTGTGAAAAACTCGACAAACAGACCAGGCAGATGATGTTTTGGCTATAACTTTGCTGCTTCCTGTTTTTCAGAAGATTGCTTCAGGCATAAAATGATTTTATTTAGACACTTTCTACATTTTGGTTTGTCCAATCTTTGTTCTCAGCTATAGACATATCCAGTCAGTATTTTTGAGGGTAAAAGCTACATTAAAAAAAAAAGAATAGGTTTAGTAGTTTCATGCTCTTCTTTACTTTTTATAGCATTATTTAGTCCATCTTAGCAGATCTGTGATGAAGGTAGGGGGAATACAGTTTTGATGTTATTTCCTTAGGGAATGAGCTGCCTTATGAAGTAACACATTTTCTGTCTCTGGAGACACCAACAAAACAAATTCTGTGACTCTTTGAGGATGTGTGTGTGAGTGTGGGGTCGAGGGGAGTGGTCAAGGGCAGGGATCCATGCACTGGATGACCTCAAAGATTCCTTCCAACTTAAGGTTCTGTGATTCTGTTGGGAATCCTGAGAGACATAGAGGGATCAATTTGATGTTGCTATCAGTAAACCTCAAGTCACTGCTTTTGGGGACTATAAAAGGGCCTTTTTACTACCAACGTGTCCTCTTTCCCCACTCCCGTAGTCACTGATCCAGAGGTACTTTGTGATAGGAGCAAAACCTTCCTAGTATGATTCCTCATTCCTTTAGAAAATTAGCAATGGTGGAAGAGGAGGACATCAGGAGATACGTGATTGTGGGGGTTAACTCCAACACCTAATGAAACAGGGATGATAAGGTCTGCATCATAACAGATAAAAGTGAAATAAATGAAAACATCATAGAAGAAAAGCGAACAAAGGTGAGAACTAGAACCGTCTTGCTGAAGTGGCTGGTTGCCAGGGTTATTGCCTAATCTGAGAAATATCAAACAAAAATTATGTTGTTCCGAAAGGAAAGAAAAAACCTTCCAAGTATCTAATAGAATCCTGATGAGATGACCATTTTGAAAGTAGAGGATTAGCAACCGTTTTGAAGAATAAGTATCTGAAGATGTTCCTTAAGAGGAAGCTATTATCTTCAAGGATAGAGTCCTGGCTTCAATAAAATTTAACCAATTCCAGATGCATGTATTACTGAGAAAATCTGACACATTATCAGACTTCTTGGTAAAAACTATGATAATGTGTCAGATTTTCTTCATTGCTTTTATTCCTTGCTTGTTAGGGATTAAAATGATCCACTGGAAAGTGCTTCCTAGATGGGATAAAGATGTGGAGAAAATGATACCCATACCATGTATATACTAGGAGAAGTAAAACTTTCTTTTCAAAGTAGTTTATTCCACCTTTCCAAGCAATTTCAACTGACTTAGTTGATATATTTGATGTATGGGAATTTTTCACAGTAGTAAAAATTTCAATCTCTGGTGACAAATTAGGTGAATGATTTCAGAATTTTTAAATGTGTAGACCAAGTCATAACTAGAAGTACTTTTTGTATTCCCTGGTGTGATAATAAAGTTTCAGTGTAATAAGCATCTGTGTTAGATATATAATGAAATAAAAAGCAGTGTGGCCCCTGTCCTCCAATAATTTTGCAGTCTACTGGATTAAGACATGCTCAGGTAACCATGACACAAAAGCAAGGCAGACATAAAGAGAGATAGACAAAATGATGTAAGAAACATAAGGGAAAACTCACTTGAGCTAAGTAAACCTTCATAATAGGCGTCACTACTGAGGTAGTCTTAAAAGGAATATGACAATTGGTGAAGATCTGTCCAAGGCGATCAAGTGTGGACCATAATCTGTGTGAATGCAGAGCTTGGAGAAGATGGGCATGATTGGGGACAGCTGGGAATAATTCATCCGAAATGAAGGAAAATGTAGCCTTAAATGACCTAGATTAGTAGCCCTAACTACCAGGCTAAGGAGTAACGAAGGTTCTGTAAGTTTGACTCACTTCAGTCAAAGGGAGTTGAGTTCATTTGGGTAGCAAAATGTGACAGTGCACAAATATGTGATTAGTAATAATCTGTTGCTTAGACTAAGCACAGTGTTTAACTTTCAAGATTAGCGTTTAGATATTTCTCTTTTGTACTTAAGTATTTTACAATTTAGCCAAAGTTTATACAATGGATAAGGGACCAGTAGTCCTATTTCCCAAATACTTGGGAGTAAGACTATATTAAACTACTCCCAAATTCTTAAAATACTCTGTCATTTTGTTAATAATGTTTTGCAAGTCACGTTGATGTGTTCAGTACTCCAGAATATGGTGCTTTGAACTTCATGTCATGATGAGTTCTGATTGTTCTTCCCGTATACTTATTATTTGTATGAATTGTCCTGGAACTGAGCAAACTTGTCCAGCATATGAATATTCCAGTTCTCTCAAGGAGTGTGCCTAAGCATATCCCAAGGCCACCTTCAGGTTTTCTTTGGCTTACCACCTCTTCTGACAGACACATCTTGGGAGTCCTTTAGGATGGTCCATGTTATCCTTGGAAAACAAATATATATGATGCAGTCATGTCAAACAGGAACCCAGTGCTTATGTTGCATTGCTCAAGACTTCTCCATTTGCCTTTAGGGAGTGAGGGGCAGCATTGGAAAGGAGAAGTAAAGAAAAAAAGATACTGTTTAAGTTTCTTTGAGTGACCTATGGCTCTTAGGGCAAAAAGCCCTGTATCGATTATTGAAATAGAGAAAGGAAGCGAAAGAATGCACAAAAAACTTAATGTTCATTTATTTGATATAAGTAAGCAGAATTCTGCTAAATTCTATCCTAAAAGGTAGAGGAGGATTGGATGTGGTGAGGAATAGAATCTACCAATACCTAAATGAATCTCACTCAAAACATTAAGCCCCTTGCAGGAGTTTCAGTTCTTTGTGTATTACTGTAGACTGTTTACTTCCATTTTATATTAAATACTTCACTGACT